GTTTGCTCGAGTAATTTCGAGGCTCGGCTTTTCCGAATGGCTTTCTTACTTGCGTTTTTTGGGTTCCTTCGCATTGGGGAATTTACTGCCAAATCCCACCAATCTTCTATCCCGTTGTGTCGGTCTGATGTTACCGTCAAAGACTCCCCTTTAAGGGTCGAACTTATCCTACGTCACTCGAAAACAGATCAATATGGCCATGGTTATGTAGTTTCCATCCCAGCAGCCCATAGCCGGCACAACATGATGTGCCCCGTCCGGGCGACTTCGTCCTATCTTGCCTGTTCCATGTCCCCCCATGGCCCGTTTTTGCCACATTTCGATGAGCGTCCTGTCACGCGTTACCAGTTTGTCGCGGTACTTCGTCGTGCCCTTGAGTTTATAGGGCTTTACGACGCCAGATTTACCTCTCATTCTTTTCGCATAGGGGCAGCTACGTCTGCGGCTATGGCAGGTGTGTCTGAGGATGATGTTAAAATTTTGGGGCGTTGGAAGTCTGGGGCTAACCAACGTTCCATTCGGATTCCCCAGCTATTTTCCATTGAACGCTACATGTTGTATTAGCTTAAGTACTTTGCTCGTGTTTTGTTCGATTTTCTTTTCATTTTTCTTGCTAGAATTGGCCCCTGCCAAGCCAACTGTGTGGGTCATTGGGGACGGCTCTGTGTGCTGGTGTGCTCAGGTGGCGGGGTCATCGCCCAGGGGAGAGCGTCTTAATCGGCTGGCCTATATCCACTGGAAGGGACCGCGAAGACTCCAGATGTTCCAGTTCTCCGATTTCCTGTTGGAAGCGTGGTCAGCAGTTCCGATCTTACCTGACGTCATCATCCTGCAGTTTGGCGCCAACGACCTGGGGCTTGTACACAAACATTTACTGAGTATTCTAGCACGGCAGTGCATCAATTTGACAAGAGAAGTACTGCCGCATACTGTCATTTTTTATTCCGAGTTACTGCCCGCCAAACTTACCTTCACGCCCTAAAGCAGAGTTCCCTCGAGCGTACGCGACGTTCGCTGAACGCGTACGTTCATTCATTATTTCGAAACGCTCATGGGGGTGTTATTTGGCACCCCCAGATCCAGTGGTCGTCCGCGGCGTTATATCATGCGGACGAATTGCGCCATATTGTTTGCCTGTTGCATCTCCCCTTAATACCACCACCTGAGGTCTATTTGGCGGCGGTCATGTTGCCGACTTCATTCAGCAACAAGCCCGTTTTGCGTGAATTTCATTCAGGGACCGCAAATTGGCCTCGGTTTTAAGGCACTGTATTCTTATTTACGACACTTATGGGAATGTGCCGAAAGGAAAGGCCTGACCCCTTCCTTTGTCGGGGGAGTCACTAGATTATTAAGGGCCAAATTAAGAAAAGCCATATTGTACTCACTAATTTCTGTCGTTTGACATAAATAGCTGTAAGTGGTTGTTGAAAATGTTCATTAGTTGCCCGTTATTCCAGGAACCCAGTGTAAGGTCAAGTCGGGCCATTCAGTCATTTTTAAGCAAAATGGAGGCACAAGGGTAAAATGCAAAACGTGCCAAATGGATGATCTCTCAATATTTTAGCACAAAAAGCAATATTAAGATTTTCTTCTGTAGGTTAAATAAAAGATTTACCAAGGAGCTATTACTGCGTGTTACAATGATTTAAAGCACTCTAGTTGAAATTGTTTGGCATAAAATTTTTGAATTGAAGTGAATGGAATTAACTGTCTCAGATATATACACAAAGGATTCCCTGTATAAACCATAACAAATTATTGCCATGTTATTTTTCAAAAAATTCAATCAGCAGTTGTTTTTTGTTTGTCATGGCGATTATCTGTTGTGTTTGTAGGGAATTAAAATTGGCTGTTACAAAATGGACAAGAAAGTGTACTGTGTACTTAAAGATATAATAAAGAAAAATGCCAAGTTATAGAGTCAAACTGACGATCGAATGAACGAAAATATGGCTGTCCGGTCAGAATAATTTGTTTATGTCTAAATTTATTATTAAGAAAAACTATAATTATGTTCATTTCCTTCTTTCAATGTTTAAATTTGTTTTTTCTTGTCACTATTATTCTTTGTTTTATAATTTCTTTTATTCTGTTATTTGTCTAAATTTATTAGTTTCTTTATTTTAGTTGAGGTTTGAAACATTTCAAACAATACAAACAGGTATTAAACAACGAAGAAGGGCCAAGAATTCCGAAGTACAACCACAATTAATTTATTTCAAACAAAATCTTCTTAAACACAGAAATTACAAAGACATCATTATTCCATTTAAAATTGCCGGGTCGTTTGGATGCTGGATACAGGCGTTTCCAGACTGTGCTTTCATTGCGACCGTTGACTTCCGCGGGCTTCATTCCAATGGAACGGTGATAAGAATGGTTGTTGCCCTTCACTCATTGCGGCAGGACGTCGATGTATCGCCACATGCGAGATTTGAGAGTACAGTTGAATCTTTCTTCAATAAAAGCTTTAACTTCGCTGTTGGTCGTGTAGAAATGTATCCCTTCGGCCTTAATCACAGTTTGGAACGGGTGGTTGGTAAATTCACTGCCATTATCCGTGTGAATCATCACGGGAGGTCTGCCGCTAGACTTGATATTAGTCTTGAAAGTTTTCACCGGCGCCTTGCCCGTTTTATTTTTTTTAACGGTATAACCAAAGCATATTTAGAAAACACGTCGATCCACGTCAATAAAATACCAAAATCCTTTATTATATCTGGATTATTGAGAAACGTCGGCCAAGTCCAACGTTTTATTTCTCGGATATCTTTTTCTCTCGGGTTTATGGAGCGTGTATGCATCTTGTCCACAAAGAAAGTCTTGAACTTGCTTTCACATAATCTTGTACTTTCCGTCATGCTTGTCGGCGCAATATAATTTGTTTACGCTGCTCAAACCGCTTTCGTGGTCTATGTCGTAATAGAGAGACTTCAAGTACGTTTCCATGCTCCTGCCTCATCGAAGTCAAGGTTTAAAATGACCGCTGGATATAGTTTAACCCCCGTTAATACCTACGGTGAAACTATTACCTCTGTTTTATTTTAAGTATTGCTTTATTCATATTTCCCTAACATTTTTATTTATAACTTATTTGTATATTTCCTTTATTTATTATTTTCATTTATTTGTCTTTTTCTTTATTTAAGTTTCAAAATTAAACTCTAAAATACAAACACGTATGAAACAACGCAGAAGGGCTAAGAATTCCAAAGTACAACCACAACCATTTTATTTCAAACAAAACCTTTTTAATCACAGAAATTACAGTTACATTCATTCAAACTTTACCTATAGAACAATTGAAAAAAGATCTTTAAAAGAGAAATATTAGCTAGCAAAACAAGGTTAATACAAAGAAGCCCCCGTCAAAAAACAAAACAAAACAAAAAAAACAAATTAAAAAGGAGAAACCCGGGACGACAGTCCTGAAGAAACCCTAGAAAAGCAAAACAAATTGTTTCAGAACGTTTGACTTATCTTCTTCCTGAATTTTGATGCAGAGAAAACTGCATAAGTCCAGTATGGCCAAAAACATTACTACATGTACAAGACCACCCACGATGTATGCCTCTAATTTCCATCCTCCCGCTCATCCACACAGACACCCACCTTTACACAGCTATACTTGTGGGGTATTTCCTTTGTTCTCGTGTACAAAACTCCCACACAACACGCAAAGATTTTAAATCACTCCAATTTAAACCAAATTCACTTTCCTAGGTTGAAATTTCGACCGTATGTCCCTTATATAAAACACTTCAATTTGCGACGGATAATATCTGTTTCGTGAAATTCCAAAACCCGTTAAATAAATTAACACAATTTAACCAATTTTTGTACCCCTCTGGCCTTGTGGGGTACTTCCCATTGTTCCAGTACCCCACAAGGCCCCATGTTTACGCGCATGTCAATTGGCTACCAGCACGCAGAAGACCACCCACTACGCATAGTCCGTATTCCGGGGAATATCCCTCTCATTACCCCAATGCACGTACGGTCCTTTTGTGTAGGGATTATCCTTTATGCTAATTTATATAACGGGTTTTGCCCTTACCCAACGTATATATTAAGGGCAAAACTCGTTATATAAATTAAGATCTCTCCAACGCAAAAATACATCTTGAAAATAGTTCGCGGTACCCGCTGCTACCCCTGACTCCGACCGGCCAGCCGACTCCGGCAAGCTCGGTGGTCGAGTGGTTAAGACGTCTGCACTATTAAGCAGGAGGTCTTGGGTTTGAGTCCTACCGGAGTAAGCTTGTGACTTTTTTCGCAAGCTCTCGGACAAGCACTGTCCGTGGATGGTTGGCTACCTAGGCATCGGTTATGGTGCTCACCTGAGTCCTGAGCCCATTGTATCCAGTAGAACGGAGCACTTCTTCCCCGACATAACAATCTCCATGTCACTCACTGGCCAAACTAGGTCACTATTCTTTTATTCTTAAAGGTATTTCTGAAGTGGAAAGAGGCGCGCTTGTAGACAACTTAGAAAAACCAACTGATCACCCCACATCAGAGGGTCTCCCCATTTTGGAGCTGAAGTTGACCTTGGATGTGCTTGTCTCGGCTGTGGACATCTATGGGCGAAATGGCCTAAACTGCCACAATGTAGCAGGACTTTGGTTGGTCATTGAATCTTGGTGAAGGATGGATGACTGCGCCGGACTGCTGAGGTTGCCGTGGCGGCATCACCTGGGAACTTCTTTCCAACCTTTCGACGCGTTGGCCTAATTGCATCTGATTCTCCAGAACTTGGTTCAGCGTAATGGTCAGCCTTTCCATCAACTTGGCAATATCTGCAAGGTTCACACCGGTGTCTCGGCTCTTCTGTGTGTTGTCAGACTTGTCTGCTGGGGTGGCAACGGATTCTTGGAGATGTCTGCCTTGGTAAGGATGTGTGCCATCAGCTGATAGTGCTGTCGCATCCTTTCCTCCTGTTGGTGCTTCTCCACAACGACCCTCAGCTCTGACTGGAGTTCTTTAAAACTCATGTTGCGAGGTCGCATGGATTTAAGTCTCTGTCTGCGTTGGTCGTCACGTAGCCCTGTCATGAACTGGTTGGTGAGGATGCTGTCCCTGGTGTCACCAAACAGATTCTGGCAGCCATGCTATCTCCCCTTCTCCTCAATACGCCTCAAGAGCGCCTCCAGAGCGATGGTATACTCGCTTGCTGATCCACCATCTTTCTGAACCCTCGTGTAAAATCGTCATGGGTGAGAAGACCAAGTTATCTTCCCCAAACTCATCCAAAAATTCAGCGAAGCTGCCTCTGTTGTGACTTCAGAGGGGCTGCGGCTGTCGAGATTTAGCACAACATTGCGAGCCCTCCCAGCTGTGTTTACGCACCACCTCGTGGAACTGGACTCTTCCTGTGCTGCCCTTCGCCTCTAGCAGGTAGCGCATGTCTCGAATCCAATCTTCGATTCAAATGCTCTTCTAACATCCAGTGAATGTGGGGGCTCCTCTCACTTGGTGTGTTGTGACAATCCTCGGTGAATCAGCCAGTGTGGGGTAAATGTCCCTGGAGATGGGGCCAAAAACGATGATCTGTTGGGGCGTAAGCTGCCTGTCTGGTGGTGGCAGGGCTGTGCCTTGTGGCGTGGCGGTTGCTGCATGAGGCGTTAAAACGGGTGGAGTGTCTAACATTTAGAGTGTGAATCTCGGTGGACTTGGAGTCTCTGCCATCATGTAACTTCAATGAACCTTATCTAAATACTGTATTGGTTTAACCATTGACCACAAAAGAGATCTATCCCTATGCAAGAAAAAAAGACCTGGCTGAGTTCCAAGGAAGAGTATCCCTACCAGGATCTTCCAACAAAAAATGTAAAAATGTAACCTGGAAAAAAAGAACACTAATGAAAAAGACAACTCTGGGGGAAATCACTTGCAAGTTGCACAAAATACTGACTAACTAGGGATCAACTAAGGACGAATCGCGAGGTCTTAAAAAAAAAAAGACAGGACAGGAAAGTGTTTGATCTCGGAAAAAAAATGTCAAAAAAATTACTGTATTCAACAACCAAAAACCAATCAAGAAAGAAATTCTATAATCTGTTAAATACCTTCCTAGCCAACTGCGAACTTAAGGAAAACTACTCTTTTAAGAATTCAGCGGAACCAATATATGACCCCCAAAATAAATAAAAATACACGTAGAAAATCAAAGAAAAACAACGACAACCAAAAATAAGTGAAAACCTCAGACCATAAAGCTGAGGCCTGGAATTTCCAATTTTAAACTTTTAAACACTGACCTTAACTTTTCAGTAAAAGACTAGCAATAAAATTAGCAGTACAAAAAAACCCCACAGAACCAGGTTCTAAATAAACAACTAAAATCGATTGCAATTAAACTTCATCAACCAAGTCCCCTGCAATTCTTACCCATCTTCAGAGCAGGCTTTAGGTACATGTGCACTCCTTGGCTGCTAACCTGCTTTTACTAAACAAAGACGATTTGTATTTTGACGGCGTTTAGTTTAGCCATCAGCACCATCATAGTTAGCGTCGTGGCCGCTGTCAGAGCTGCTGGTGCGCCGATGCCTGCCCCTACACCTGCTCCAACCAAACCCGGGTGAGGTGGTGGGAAAGAATGGATTAAAAAGCAATTACAAAATTTAGCTAATGTACTGTAAAAAAAAAAAAAAAAAAAAGGGATTGAAATCGCTGGGAGTTTTGCCAGGAATAATCGGAAGCATTATTTATGGTTGTTAAACCTGGCGAGTAATGCATTTTCTTTGATAACTGAACATATGTGGGCGTTATTTTTAGTAGTGGGTTCCTTGCGCGTTCCTTGGTTCCATGCGTTTTACGGATTGTTATTACCCCCGCAGGCGCTCTCGACTTTTCTCGAGAAAACTGCGACCAAGTGACACGCGTTGCAGCATGCAGCATGTATAGTGAAGCCGTGGTTATGCCGGGACAACGCGCCGACGCGGTGCTTAAATC